CAAGGTCCTGCCCTGGTGCTACTGCTAGCTGGGAGCTGTGGGGTCCCCACCACGGCCCATGGTGGCTGGGAGCTGCGGGAGGGAGAGGGGGGATCCCCACCACCCATGTTGGTTTGGTGCTGCAGGGTCTCCCTGCTACCCGCAGTGGCTGGGAGCTGCGGGGTCTCCCGCTGTCTGGCAGCTGAGAGCTGCTGGGCCTCCACCAGCTGACACATCCAGCCACGCTGCTCCTGGGCTGAAGCGGAAAATGTCCCGGAGGTTTCTGGAAGTCATGGATTCTTCCGTGACCTCTGTGACAAAATCTTAGCCTTAGTCATAAGCATTCTCATCCATTCCTTTTTTTCCTTTTGCTCTGAATGTTCTCACAATGTAGAGAGGTTCTGTTTCCCAACAGACATCTGAGATCATGTGGAAATCCATTTGTCATCAGTGTACAGTAGTTGCTAAACAGAACTTTTAAATCCTCTCTGGGAAACAAGTGAGAGAGACATTCAGCTAACCTAAACAACACATTTCAAACTAAGTACTGTACTATCTAAACGACTTCTAGCTGGAACAGCCAAATCTCCTCTCATTTGAATAGCTTGAGAAAGCCAGGACCAGAGGATGCTGGGAAGCTTGCCTTTTTGAGATCAATAGATATACTTGTAACTGTATTGAACCGAGTTCGAAGTCTGTCAAACCTTTGCCTCCTGATTTAACTAGAAGGCACTCTCAGTAGTACTCAGCTATCCAGTAGATAGCATAGAATCTCCGGTCATATCTGTATTAGAAAGATATTTAAAATAGATCTAGTTCAAACAGTGCATACCCACACTGTAGACATACTTCAGTAGGTTTAAATCTTGCTTTTATTGGTTTAGTTTAATTTGGTAATTTTTAATATATTTAAATAGCTGTATCTTAGGTGCTTGCATGGATTTAAGTAGATCAGTTTTAAAATAAATCTAGCTAAACCAGTGTGATTTTCTAGCATAGGCAAGGTCTTATACTGTTCTTGACTTGCATACATTGACATCAGTGGGAGTTCTCCCTGTGAAATCAATGTCAAAGCTCCCGTTGCCTTTAGTGGCCCAGGATTGGGCTCTAAGGGCAGTATATATGATGTATGTATTATTATCCTGACTCCAAAATATGACTAGATCAATTTTGGAATGCAAGGTTCCTGATTAGGATAGATTCATTGCTGGGCTTTTATTAATGACAGTGTCTACTTTAAGCTAAAAATTTGTGTAAAAGAAAAGGGGTTAATACTTAGCTAATATGCACTGAAACCTTTTTATTAAGTTAAAAAAAGAAAATGGATTTTAAATGTAAACAGCCCCCTGCTATACTGTGAGCCCAAGCACATCCGGATTCCTGTATGGTTGCTTGAGAACCAGAAAGTGAAGGTTAATGCAGTAGAGCCCAGAGGCCCCAGTAATAAGAAGAGCGGGTGCTGTACTTGAATGGAAGTAATGAAACAAATCCATCTAGTTTCACTGTCCAAACTGAGTGTATTTTTTTAAAGCATACCTGGTGAACATAAATTATATTTAAACAACTGAACAGTTTTGATGCTCAATGGTGTTAATAACACAGGTAAGTATTTTTTACAATTTCCACCTAGACACTGTCCCTTTAAGTTAATCACTCTGAACTTTCAATTATTAGGCGTTTGAATTGTTCTGTCTAAATGCTCTTGGCAACCATCACAAACATAAAGCAAACCCAACAACAAACTCTTGAGAACTATTTATATAAAAGCCAATAATCAGACAGGATAATAAAACAATGGTTTACAAGAAGCCCAAATAAAATCCAATGCCCTTCTGAGCAAGATGGCCCATAGCTAGTCAATAGGTAAACATTCTCACCACATAAAGTGAGGGATTGGAGTGACTGCTAAAAAGAGGAAAGCAAATAAATCTGAACAAGCAGAATGGCCTATGTTCTCATGCAACTCAATCCTTAGAAAATGGTCTGATTTGGATTTTTTAAAAATAACTTTAAATGCTTTAGTCGTTTGAAAGTTGCTCAAAATTAAGAGAAAACTATATTTGAAGAAGCAAAGTGGTGTCCCCTTTGATTAAGTGAGCTGTTGTCTAAGGAAACCTCCATATTATGATTAGATCCTTTTGCGATTTACTTCAATGGGAAAATTTCCATTGAATTAGAGAGTAGCAGGACCAGAACCTATATTTTCATTAACCATTTCAAGACAGTCCTACCTCTTGGGATATTCATTTTTTTACCAAATGAATGTGTCTTGCTGAGTTCCTGTTGATTAAGGGGCAGATATTTTTTATTCTGTATTGCTTGAAGAATCGTCTGTGCAATTCTTATTACTGTTCATGGGAGCTATGAAAGACATTTGTGCTCTGGTGAAAAAAGAATCTGAAACTTTGGTGTCATTTGAAATACCCCAGTGCTATTGTACGATATATTATACTTAGTGATTCCCATTGGAAAACTTTGTTCTCATGTGTCTTAATAAATGAAGACCTGTGCCATTTCTATTTTAGTGATATAACAGTGTTTAGGCAATGCCACTATCAAATCCAATCCTGCATCCCTCCTTTACTGACTACTCACATCAGAAAGGTCTATAGGATCTAGATCCATAGTTAAGTATCTGTCGTTTCAAGTCTAAACTCTTTAAAGGGACTCTGAAGAGAGACAAATAAAAGTTCAGCCTGGTTGATGGAGCCAAGGGACACATTGCATAAGCGGATATAACTCCACTTTGTCTTGATGTCCTCCAAGCAGCACCAAATTGGAAAGGGCTGAATTTGGCCAATTATGTTTAAATTTCCCTTTGCCATGTAACTCTGTTTTATAAACAATACTGTTGCATGCTTTTCCTTAAAGCAGTGTTCTCCCTAAGAATAATGGACAAGTAAAAAAAAAAAAAATGCTGCTGACGTTGAACAGAAAGTCAGCACCGAGGGATGACATTTTTTTCCCTTTAGTGAATTGTCTCACGTCTGTAAAAGCTGACTTGTGATAATTCAGGCTCTGAGGTTACAATAGCTGTAATGGACTCTCTTTGTTATCCGAGGCACAGCCAAGAATAGTTAACCATATAACAAGCCAGCTGTTTCTCCTACACTAATGACTTATTTGAGAAAGCTTAAGGACGTTTAATGACATATTACAATAATTTGAAACATTCATCCTGCATGCTAAATAGCAAAGTTGAGGGGTAAGGGGACAGCAAAACCCAAACTCTGGTGGTGAAGAAACAATTTTTTACCAATAAAAATAAATTGTAGAAGCTGCTGTTGTTCAATTGTAATCAAATAACATTGATTTCCACATTTATTTTATTTACAAATTATATACATCTTTCATTTGCATCTTGTAATGCAGGAAATACTTAATCATATGTTTGCATTCAAATCCAGTACACTATGTGCAGTACATTTTGAAGTAGTATAACTAATGATTTGTGCAGATATAACTTAAGACGGGAAGTATATTTTATTGTAATCTATTTAAATGTTGGGGAAACAGGGATATTAAAAAATAAAAGGTTACCTAAATACAGCGATTTACCCAACAACAATTCTGCCAGCCATCTCATGGAGAGTAGCACCTTTGCTTTGTGAGTACTTCCATTGGTTACAATGGAAGAATTGATGTTTCTCAATGAGAGTGAGGTTAGAAGTATCTGACCTGGTTCTAGCAGCCTTATTTGTACTGAATAGCATTAAATTCTGCATGCAGACCCATGTAAGTGTGAATAAGAGTGACAGAATGTGGCCACTAGATTTTTATTTGGCCATAAGAACTGAGGATGGTGTGTCATGTCTGTTATTGCCTGAAACCTGTGTGGGATCAGTAGGAATGGGGTACTGTGTGGTGCAAGGGGACTCGCAAAGGGAATACAGGACTTTGCACCTGTATATGACTTGTTCAAAAATCCAGTCCAGATTAGTAGTGGCCGAAACTCATTATTATTTCATGGCTACTTAATGCCAAATGGGAAGTGAGTTTGTCATCTCAGTTCAGTTCTTCCTAGACAGGTGGCACATCACAAAACCACCACTACAGCTGGCATTATTTGGTACCCTTGTTGTGACTCTCAGTAGGGAGGACAACAAGTGACAGCATATAGATAATGCATTCTTCTTGTACCCCTCGAGGTGGTATTTTCAGGTCAGGGTTGAAAGGTACCTTGGTAAGTCAGGATGTAGATAAGTTTATCCTGATGTTAAAGGATTTTGGTCTCCATGATTATCACATAGACATCTTTAAAAATGAATACATTATCTAAAAAGAAAGACAATAAAATAATAAAACAACACAGGCCAGGTCTACAGATAGTGTAAACTGATGTAGTTCCATTGACCTCAGGGGTCAGGCTCTATCCCAGTATATGTCTTTAGAGGTTACTTTAGAATTTTGCAGTAAATATCTTAATTTTACATCCTTTTCCACCATAAAAAACAAATCAAGCCCCCCCCAGTTGTATCTACATCATTTGCAATTAACGTACATCAGAGCTACAACCCATAAAGCTTGCCCAGGACCTTAAAGATGCTACAAGAGACTTAAAAAAATTCCTTACGTTTGGTTTGTCAGAAATTTTCAGAGGCTCACCCCCGGTCACCACCTCTACCATGAAAATTACAGCAAAGTTGAGTGAAAGCTAGAATTTTTCCAAAATACTTTACTTGAAACTGTCTAATCTGGGACAGATTTCCAGAGGATTTTAGTTCAGATTAAGATTTTTTTAAAGTGAGAAAAGTAATGGAAGTTGATGAATAGCTTTTACAACATCCTGCCGTGCATATGGTTGAATTTATCATGCATCTTAACACACAGAGAGGCAAAGCTTGATAAGCAATTTTATTGGGTAATTACTTTTTTTTTATATTCGCAAATAAAACAGATTGATTTCCAGCTTGAAGTAATTTACTAACACATTATAAACTCGTCAGATGCTAACATGGTACAGTACGCCTCATTTCCTGTTTACTAAATAATCCTTTGGATGTCTGTTTTGTGTCTTTCAGGTTAAACCTGGAATTGTTTTTTGCCAGCAATGTCATGAAGCCGTGTGTCAGAGTCCTCCACTTAAGGGAAAACATTGCCTCACTGGCTCAGCTTCTTGCTAGCACCAGCCACGGTGGATTCCCAGTGGTTTACAAACCCAAGCCAGACCAAGTAGAGGTGTTCCTAGGTACTATTACAAGGTAAAACATTATCAAGCTATTTCTTTGTTGTATGGCCTTTCTGGCCATCTTTCAGGTTATGAAAGAAATGTTTCACACACTGTGTTTAGGGGGGAGGGATAGCTGAGTGGTTTGAGCATTGGCCTGCTAAACCCAGGGTTGTGAGCTCAATGCTTGAGGGGGCCATTTAGGGATCTGGGGCAAAAATCTGTCTGGGGCTTGGTCCTGCTTTGAGCAGGGGGTTGGACTAGATGACCTCCTGAGGTCCCTTCCAACCTTGATATTCTATAATTCTAAGATTATAGGGTGTAAATACAGGTCTTGGTCCTGCTTTCATTGAAGCCAACAGCAAATCTCCCTTTGATTGAAGCAGATTTGGGACACGGATGTGTGTCATATCAGATATTGCTTGGAGAACTCCAAAGAGGTGCCCCAATGTGGTAATGTGGGTCCATAGGAAATGGGAAATACCGCTAATCCTTGAAAGCTCACAAGAATTATAATGCAGAAAGAATTAGGAGATCAAACTAACCATAAAAATAAGCCAAGTCAAAAGAAAAGTAACCTGCTGAATAATCACAATCATCTTCCTTTTTTAATATGTGCTTTTACTGGAATTAAATGCTATTAAGATAAAACATATCACAGTCAAGATAAAACAACAAAGTCAGAAGCGCAAACAACAGATTACTGTAAACAGGATTTAGTCTAAGCAAACTCTGTCATAGTGAGGACTATCAAAGGAGTAAAGAAAATCTCCTGATAAAGAAACTATTGCTGGAACTCCATTTCATAATAACACAAGTTTGACTCCATTCCTGCAGGAATGGACCTTAAGATTGGCCTCCATTCTTGGAGGGGGGGGGTCAGAAGTGGAAGAAATTGCAGCTTAATCACAACCTTGCTTATAATTGGGGAGGAGGGGGAGAAGGAAAATAATGCACACAAATGCTGGTAAACAGGAATTCACGTATCGAAAAGCAATAAAGTATTAATCCATATAATCACCATAACATAAACATGCAGCTGCTCAGTTTCATAATAATATAGTGTCTTGTGCAATGAAAGACACTATGTAGATACAAGTTCCTAAAACTCCTGAGTCTTTTCAAGCTTTCCTTAAAAGAAGTCCTTTCATCTACTGCTGGAATTCTACCACCACTGGAGTTGAAGCCAGAAACTGCTTAATAACAACACAAGGATACAAATACTGTATCCAACTGAACTGGTAGAGTGAAGGCAGAGGCTCTTCAATTGAAATTTGACCAGGACTTACCTTAGAAGTACTCCAGGATCTTTATGGACAAGTCAATGAGATGGCATTTATCATCTGGTTGAATTAACCCCTGGAACAAGACTAAGGGCTTGTCTTCATGTACAGCGCTTCGTGGCACAGCTGCACTGGTGCGCTGCACCGCTGTAGCGCTTTAGTGAAGATGCTATTATTCTGATGGGAGAAGTGGTAGCTATGTCAGTGGGAGAAGCTCTTCCATCGATGTAGCACTGTCTACCCCGGGGGGGGGGGTGTTTAGGTCAGCATAACTACATCATTCAGTGTGTGAGCGACATCATTATACAGATACAGGTCTGTAGTGTAGACCTGACCTCTGGAAGTTACAACTAAAATCCTCTCCAAACTGACACATCAGAGGTCTAGAAAGGCCACTTAGGAGATGTGTAACATAATCTCCTCATTCTGTTGGAAGTGTCTAGCCAAGAACCATTGCCTCTGTTCCTCATAGGCCATGCTGATGACTTCTATAGATTCTTGTACAAAACCTGCTAGCCAAATTACTGTCCCAAATGATGCTCAAATTGAGGCACAGCATTAACTGTTTTTTGGAAAGACTCACATTACCACCTCTAGCCCTACCCTGATGGACTAACATCAAGAAGTGTGTGAATGAGTTAATTTCGGGTTGGGAGAGGGGAGCCTGGGAACATTTAAATAACATCTTTTTCTGTGACTGCCCAGAAAATGTCCTTCCCACACCCTAACCATTAATGTGTTTTTCCTGAGGGCAATTTGGAAGTAACTCTGCATGTACATAAGGTCGTCTTTAACATTTTAGCTCCAGCAACTTGAGACTGATGAGCTTTCAACAGGATCAGGCTGCCCACATATTTTGGGCGTTCCAGTTATTAAAGCAATCCCTAAAAAGAGGAGCACTTGATTTTAAACCTTGTACTTTATTATTATTATTTGTCTATATGAAGGTAGCACCTGCAAGCTCCCAGTCAGAGCCCCATTTTATTAGGTACTGTACAAGCACATAACACAAAGATAGTCCTTATCCCCCAGAGCTTATAATTTTGCTCTTAGAGGTTTGTTTTCAAATAAATAGATAGACTCATACTTAGCAGCTTCCACTTGGTCATTATTGGGCTTACCTGATGGCTTTAGGGTCAGATAAAGTTTAGGTGAACAATTAAGGGGGGGGGGAAGTGTTTGAGAACATTTGCTTTAGTAAAAACTGACTATGCTTCACTGAGAGGGACAACACTGTATGGGATTCCCAAAGGGAGGGAAATAACTGCTTAATACAAGAAAATCCACTGGAAAACTGCACACCAAGCAAACCCAACAAACAGAATGTAGGCACCAATAAAATGGAATGTCATATAGATAACACTGATTTGCTTGTTCCCACGTACTATTGCTCTCGTTAATGTTATTAGTAAAGGATAAAGCATTGAAACACAAATCCAGTGGTTGACAAGCTGCAGTGTGTGCTGGTTTGAAGATGTTGCGTAACATAAACAAACACATTCATTTATTTCCCAACTATCCGCTGCAATAAAATGAGAACTCGTGCAAACAACTGATCCTGCCAAATGTTCATTTACAGTCTCATTGTTTCCTTTAGCTCATCACGTTACCTTGCAGCAAGAGTTGTAGGCTGTCAATGAGTATTCTACCTTCACATACATACCTTAATTCTTTGTACCATGGGAGGAATAACAATAGTTGAAGCAAGGTGGGAACAAAAGAGGCATCGCATCTTAAAGAGAGACCCAGTTTTATGAAATATTTCAAGCTACCAATCCCAGGTAATCCTGGTAGGATAATATTAATTTCTGTCAAAAGAAGAGTCATAGCAATTAGAACCATATTTTACAGATGGATGAATGGAAATGATTTTTTTGTAGGATTTGTGGTATACATGATATATTATCTGAGTCTCAGTCTGGAAAAAGACCAAGATAATGCTTGTAGGCTGGGGAGACAACCAGAAGAAGTAGATTATGATGTTGTTTTGACTGTCTTAGAGTTTGTTGCTCACTTCAGTGGAGCTCCGCAGGCAAAGACTGCCCAGGGGATGTGCTGAATCCTGGTGTCCTGAAGACTCTAGTTAACAACTTGCCCTCTCCAGTGTCAATCACAGCAGAAGCTTTGCTGGCCAGCTCAAGGTGCCTTGGTGAAATGAAGGTTGTGGACAGTTTCCTTGTATTGCTATGACACCCCTCCACCCTCATGAGTGGAATTCTGTGTAGCCATTGTCTGAATCTATCCATTGAACTTGTGACATGCCATGGGACTGTTAATGAGCACAGATAGTTAGGACTTGATTTTATGACTTACCTCCCATAACACAAGGTGTTTCTACACTGGAATTAGACACCCATGTCTGGCCCATGGCAGCTGACTTGGGGCCATGGGGCTCAAGCTAAGGGTCTGTTCAATTGTGTTGTAGACTTTTGGGCATGGGCTGCAGCCTGAGCTCTGGGACTGTCCCTCCTTGCAGGGTCCTAGAGCCTGGGCTTCAGCCCAAGCCTGAATGTCAGCACCACAATACAACAGACCCTTAGCTCGAGCAGGAGCGGCGCCAGGGTTTTTGCTGCCCTAGGCAGCCGCGCTCCTCCTCAGAGCATTCGGCGGCGGGGGTCCTTCCGCTCTGCGTCTTTGGGGCGCTTCGGCAGCGGGTCCCGGAGCAAGTGAAGGACCCGCTGTCGAAGTGCCCCGAAGACACGGAGCGGAAGGACCCCCGCTGCCGAATTGCCGCCAAGGACAGAAAAATGCCACCCCCCAAATCCTGCCGCCCTAGGGTCGCCTAGTGGAAGCGCCGGCCCTGAGCCCGAGCCTAAGTCAGCTGGCATGGGCCAGCCATGAGTTTTTAATTACAGTGTAGATATACCCACTGTATCTTGTAAGACCATGATGAGAAATGCTTTCGAACTGATTCAGAGGGAAGAGTGTTGCTTACTGAATCTAAGACACCATTCTCTGTAGCTCCTTTGATTTCATTTAGACGTCTCCCATCCAAGTACTGAAGCTGCCTGATTCTGCTTATGTTGTGAGATCTGACACGATCACAAGCCAAGGTGGTGTGATTACAGGCAAAAAAATTTCAGTTTCAGCATTTTTCCATTAAAAAAAAAAGTACACTCCCCCAAGGTTTTCATATGGACCTGTTTTGACATTGCTATTCCGTTATCAAATGGGTTTCCTCTGGCACAAAAAAATGATGGCAATAGGTAAAAGTAAATCAGAAAGAGGAACAAAGAAGGGAAAAGTAACAGTTCAGTCATGAATTCTGTGCTGAACTAGCTGCCTTCATGCACCAGGATTTGGCGCACACAATCTTAAAACTATTTCTCATTTCAAGATTTTCAGTCATTGGTGTTTGTCTACCATTTCTCCTCATGAAATAGCTATGGCTGCCCCACAGTGAATATAAAAGCATATACTGAACTTTCCCACACTTTGAGATGCTGGAGATGAAAGGTGCTGTATGAGGGCAAAGTATTATTTATTGTAAGTGTGAATTATTCTGCCTCTTTAACAAGAAAAGGCTGGTGAACTTTAGTTCTTACGAAAGCAAAGACTAGAGCCAGACAGTGTTGGCAGGCACTTTGTAAGCTTTCTCACACAGGTCTACAAATGCACCTCAGTGCTGACTTGTAACAAACACCCTGCTAGTCCAACCCTGTTCAGACTTCCAGCCTTGCTTAATAGAGCCAAATTTTGTGTTCGCTTTTGTGATATGGACACACATCCACTTGGGGTTGGGATGAGATCA